AGCCGTGGGCGAGCCGAGGGGCGGGTGGTTGGCGGGCAGTACAGGATGGAGCCGTACGGAGCCTGGGTGGGTGATGGGGAGAGCGGGACAGACCGATGAGGAAGCCAGATTTCTGCCTCGGGCGCCTGGGAAGCCGGGGCATGTGGAAGTCAAGGTGCCGCTGGGCAGACATTCGAGTGGACTTCCCAGCAAGCACGCTAAGGTCCTGTTCAAGTTGAGGAGGGGCTGGCTGTCACCCGCATAATGCTTTGTCCTTTCTCCTTGAGTGTTCGAAGCTTTGGGCTAGAGACTGTTCACAAATGCTTTGGTTTTATCACGTTTAACTTCTTTAGAAAGTGTGAATCGCTATTCATATTCTGACTTAACATACTCACTCCTACTTTTTCTGGTGTATGTAGGTACGTGTATGTGTGCATGCGTATATATATGGAGATAGTATATGTGGAGAGAGAGCGCTGGATAAACGATAACAGCAGGCAGCAGACGGAAGGTAGAGACAGGTGGATGCACACACCTGAACCCGGGGCACGGCATCGGGAGTGAGGGGGCAGAGCCCCTGAGCCCGGGGCACGCGCAGCGCCCAGGAGGGGCAGGGCGGGGCCGGTGTGTGCCCTGTCCTTTTTCCCCAGTCACTGGCGCACCGTGTTGTGTTTTGCTCTGCGCGCGTGTCCCATGGCAGGTCCGGGAGTTGACGTGGAGTCCATCCAGAGTCCCCGGACCTCCCTGTCCAAGCACATGATTAAACAGCCTGAGAGACTGATCTGAGCCTGGTGTGTGGACATAAGTGTGACCCCAGATAATTCGGGACACTCAGTGTGGGCCAGAGGAGCAGGCTGAGGGGGGGGGGGGCGGCGGCTGCAGCGGGGCTGTGGGCGGGCTTCCGGGGTCAGTGGGCGGTGGCCTTGTCCCACTGGCCCCACCTCACACTTTTGTTCCCGCGGAGCCGGCGCCACCTCCGAAAGCTGGGGCCTAACGGGCTTGCACTTGGCTTCTTGGCCCCCTAATGCACCACCTCTGCCGCTCTGGCTGCGATGTCATTAGCACCGCATGGCCTTGGGCCCCCGCTCTGGGGAGAGAGGTTCCTAAAGCAGCCCCAGAGCCCTGCAAGGATTGTACCAGTTCACCTCATGACCACGAGTTCGCGTTCGTGACCGCTGGTCCCCAGCAGCGGGCGGCCCAGCGTGAGGGTGGCTCTGTCCTTCCGTCGCCCTCAGGTGCTCCCGGGTCGGGCTGGGCTGATAAGCACATGCCCAAGGCCATGGGCACGGCCACAGCGAGATGGTGGACATCGAGCAGGCCGACGTTCTCGTACCACAATACTCTACGGGGGGGAATTCATCCACTGCGTGCCGTGGGGTGCAGATTTAGCCTCAAGCAAATGGCAGTTATTTATAGCAAACCGTATTTGCAAAATGCTTTGCAGTCTGGGGGGTTGTGAACTCCACTTCAGGTTGGCTGTTCCTCTACTTGCCAGAAACGGAAGGGTCACGGCGGGACTCCAGAGCCGCCCTGGGGCCGGCGGGGTGGGTCCGGCAGGTGGGGTGGGAGGAGGCCGCATCCAGGCATCTCCGTCTCAAGCCACCTGTGCCGGTGACAATCTCTGAAGGCCTTCGTTGTCGCTTACTTCTCATGTCCGGGGACTGCACTTGCTGAAACAGAGTATTCATTTTATTAAGAGACATTGTAGTGCCTCACATTACTAGAGTGTTTTTGCCCGGCATTGGAGGGGAGACCAGGGGAGAGAGCAGCGAGCCCGGGCCGCACGTGGCGTGGGCGCCGGGGCGGGGGGTTGGCGGGGCGCCTCCCCCCACTCTCCACACAGGCCTCGCTCCCGCCCGCTCTGGCGCCACGGGAGCTGAAAGCGAGTGCCAAAGATCAGACTGCCCTGAAGCTTTTAGGGTTTGAACTGCTCTTTCACGTGCCATGGATATAGGTGCTCCCTTTGGTCAAAGGGAGAGTCATGTAGGCCCCCACTGCTAGACTCCCTCATCTGGGCGGGTATTTCCCAACTTGTATCTCTAACCACGGGAGGAAAATCGGTTTCCTCCTTGAGAAATGGTGCACGCGCTCTCTCTCTCTCCTCCCCGCCCCCCCTTGCCGGAGGCTTTCAGGAGTTCGCGGCTTGTCACAGCCGTGGAAATCTGCCTCGTCTCCAGGCAGCCCCATCCTGGGTGATGGGGGACCAGTGGGGGGGGGCGGGGGTCAGACTTGGTTTCCAGCGGGGCCGCGTCATCGGGGCCGGAGAAGGCAGATGTCATTCTGCGCTAAAACAAGACTCGTGTGGCTCCCAGCCCTCCTTCCGCGCCCTCCTGGCTTCGCCGCCCTCCTCCCTAACGCAGCGCCTGTCTGGACCTGCAGGATGTCAGGCGGGGGTGGAGGTGGGAGTGAGGGGTTGCTCCCTCTGGACATGGGTTAATAAAATTGTACAGGTTGCAGGTGAGCGTCTTGATTTTAATTGGGAAAGCCAGGAGACAGAAGCGAGGGGAGCAGCCCCTCAAATATTCGCCGTGATTACAGCCCGGCGATGGATGGCTGGAGGGCGGCGGGGAGGGGGGGGGGCTGCCGCTCCGCTCGGGGCCGCGTGGGGTCGCAGCGCCCTCTGGTGGCCGCGCTGGGCTGTCAGACCCGAACGTCCTGAGCGGTGCGCGGCGAGGGGCTCTACCGTAGGGACGAGGATGTAGCAGGCGAGGGGCGTTCCGGGGTATTTGAGGATTAAAGGTGAGAGAAAAGGAATTTCTTGGTATCTTATTTCACTCAACATGAAGGATGTTCAGGGTTTTTAAATTTTTCTCTGGTGAGTTTTGTTTTCCCTCTATTACCGTGTGTCTCTCTATATTTTTTTTCCGTGGGATACGTTGGGTAGAATTGTTTTACTCAGTTTTTTTTTATTAATTGATGGAGAAAAATAGTGCCACCCCGGTTTCTTTTTAAGTAGCTCTGTATTATTTTTGCATAATTTCATTTTCTATGATGCCAAAACGGTCACAGAATTTATCGCACCTTCTCTTCCCTCTTCCAGAAGTCATTTTAGACTTGGTGTCCCCACCTAGTGGTCGTTTTGGGGAAACCTTGTGCCCGCCTCTTTGCTGAAGATGGACGTTCTCCACCAGGAGGGGCCGGGGCCGATGGCCACAGGCACCTGCTGCTGCGGGGCCTGCGGCCCACCAAGAGGCCCCAGCTCTCTGGGCGGCTCTCCAGGCAAAAGCAGCACTAGATAGCTTGACTGGTTTTTGCTTTTTATTTTTTTTGTTTCTTTTTTCTTTTCTTTTTTTATTTCATTCACCTTCCCAATGAACAAAGGCCTGTTTTTCTAGAAATACCACCAAGACTTCGAAGACCTCACCCCATCCCCCGCCCCACCTTCTCCTGCCTGTCCAGGAGGCCTGGCCAGAGCGTGGCCACTTTACAAACCCCGCCAGCCGTGCGTTGCATAAGCCGGGATGTCGACTACGAAGCGCAGTGGCCTGGAGCGACTTCGGCACTAGCTGGCCTGGGCCCCGGCCTCCTGCCTGGTAACATTGTTCTTGCTTTTGGCTTGTGTGGGTCTGTCGCTCTCTGATGACAGACGAAGGGCCTGCGCTCGCCTCTGGATCTGTCACTAAACCAGGTGCAAATGTGACACACACGCCATCCCACCTTTACAGACACGGAGTGCGCCCTTAGCCTTAGCGCACAGGAGGGGTCCCGGGGCATGGGCCCCTTGCCCGAGGAACAGTGACGCATCTCTGGGAAGCCGCGCTGCTGAGCGGTCTCGTATTCCGTGTTTTACGGGGCACGCGAGAGGGGACAGCAGGGTGCTTCCCAGACTCCACAGGAGAGAACACTGCTGGGAAGTCAGTGAGTTGTGTCTCGCAGTCACCTTCTGGAACCTTCCAGCCAGTTCCCCCAACGATTCAGCCCCCGAGCAGGGGCGTCGCATTCTTGCTGCCCATTGTTTCCTACGGCCCCAGGAGCCTGCCCACCGCTGAGTACCGTGTGGGACCGCAGGGGTCAGGGAGCCCAGGCTTCCTGCCAGCAGACTCTGCTTCCGTCTTCCTGTAGAATTGATGAGTTAAGTGAAAAACCAGGATGGAGTGGGAGAGAAACACAAGCAGTACGTCTTCCCATTGCGGGGAAATACTATTTTCTGGTAGGCATTTCCAACATTTGTCACCAAAAAATAAACCAAGAGCCCTCCACCCCCACCCGCCTTTGACTCATCAGTCGGGATGATATGGACCCATCTCTCAGGCTTTGAGGTTCAGATCTTTTTGAAAAAGCCAGAGTTCCTTCCTTGTCTTTAATACATTGGTTAATAATGAAGCTGAGGCATCCTGTGACGTGAGGGCTTTGGAATCCAGTGAAACTGGATTCACATCTCAGACCTCACAGTAGGTCAGCCATGGGATCCTGAGGCTCTGAGCCTCTGTCTTTGCATCTGTAAAATGGGCACAATGACAGAATTCCTCCATGCGGAGAGCTGGTGCAAGGGGCGAAGGAAGTCTAGTCAGATATCTCGTTCCTGGTGCATGGAGGCTCGCCAAGTCTCACCGGCGGTCAGTGATTAAAGCCGTGATGGGTGGCGCGTGTTCAGCATGCGCTGGCCCCTGTGATGTGCCCTAAAGTCAGCCTGGCCTTTCCCCAGTGCCAGATGCAGGTGCCACACACGCCTCCGTGCTCGGGATGTAGAAACTGAGCCATGGGGCCGTCACCCCTGCCACGGTCGGCCTTGTCAATGATAGTCACAGGCCTGCAGGGGAACCGCAGGAATGTCCCCAAGACGATCTGTGGAGCTGACGGTGCTCAGAAAGGAAACAGCCTGCTCCCCGCTTGGGAGCGTCTGGGGTTCCTGGGAAGAGGGGCCCGCCAAATTAGAGGGACGACAGAACCATGTTCTTGCCCCTCTGTGACACTCTCTGCCCGCTCGAGGACGCGACTCCAGCGCTCGGGACCACGAGGCCATGCAGTCCTTGCTCCTCCTCCTCCCTCCTCACTGTCCCTCTTCCTTTTGTGTCCGGCAGGCAACTCCCCCTCCGACGAGTCGGAGGAGCGGGAGAGGGACCCCAAGGTGCTGACGTTCCCAGAGTACATCACCAGCCTGTCGGAGTCGGGCACCAAGCGCGTGGCGGCTGGAGTCCGCATGGAGTGCCAGAGCAAGGGACGGTGCCCCTCGTCCTGCCCCCTGTGTCACGTGGCTTCCAGCCCCGACACCCCGGCCGAGCCCGTTCTGCTGGAGGTGACCAGAGCGGCCCCCATCTATGAACTGGTGACCAACAACCAGACCCAGAGGGTAAGAGGCCTGGGACCCTTGGCTCAGGGAGGCAGCGGCGGCCACAGAGGGCTTTGGAGGTGACAGGGTGCCGCGGAGCCCGAGCTGGGCTGTGGGTAGTGAGGCTTTTTGTGTAGCTAGTCTAGGTGCCTCATTTGCTTAGATTTGCATGTTCGCATAGTAAATCAAGTCAGTGCAGCCACAATTCCCATGGCGATGACTCAGGAGCCACAACTGAGCCTTCATGTAGGCCTTTGGGCAGCAGGGCCCGGAAGGAAGAAGGGAGGCAGGGCATTTGCAGTCGCCAGTGCTGTAGTTCAGGACGTCTCAGGGGCAGCCCAGCGTGCGGGCGTGGGACCTGCGAGCCTGGCAGCTGCAGCGAGCGCAGAAGGAGCCCGTCGGGCAGAGGGGAGCGACCTGGCCGCCTGGGCCTGGAGGGTTGGTCTCCCGCCCATCACACCGGCCCTCAGAACAAAACGGCACGTCCACGCAGAACCTTACGTTACGCTGCGGGGCCAGGCCGTCTCCCAAACCGCCCCTCTGTCCCTTCTGGGCCTCCCTTTCCAAAGGAGGAAATGCAGGGACCCAAAAAGGATAAGCCAGAGAAATGTGACCAAGGCGGTGACTTCACTCGTCCCCTCTCGCAGGGACATAATGATAGTGGGTCAAAATAGACACAACAACAACGACAACAAAAATAAAAACACGGAAGCTCAGGGCGTGGGGCTTCAGAGACAATTGGCAAAGATGACCTTGGGGACAAGATATGATAGAGACACAGCAGTGAGCTGCTCACCTGCCTGAGAGGCGTGGCCATCCAGGTGGGGTGACGATTGCTTTCTCTGTCCTCTTTTAAGGGACACCTGGTGTGTGACAGTTAGGTTGTCGGTAGTGCCTAGCCCTGCAGGAGGGATCTCGTGTGTGTGTGTGTGTGTGTGTGTGTGTGTGTGTGTGTGTGTGTCTGTCACCTCTCGGCCTCTGCCACAGATATGTCACTGAGTGTTTGAAAGGATGGTCTTTCACCGGAACAAGAAGATGAATCGTTTCCTTGGCTTACAAATTCCAGTTTGAGAGAAGCGACCACAGAAGACAAGTGGGAGGGAAGGGGCCCCTGGAGAGGGTTGGGGGTGAAGAGAAGGGAGGGGCTTGTGTCACCATGGAGACCCCAAGTGACAGTGGCTTTAATCCAATGCCCGGCCCCGCCCTTGCCTGCCCCACTTTGCCTCCTTCCAGAAGCATCCGTGGGGCCAGGCATGCAAAGCTGGAGAACAGGGACAAGCTGGGTGGGACAGGGGGGCAAGGAGTCCCTGCTTCCTGCAGGGGCATCGCGAGCAGAGTGAGGACGGTCTGTCTTCAGGGACCCCCTTTCTGGGTCCCTGCTTGCCAGACGCAGCCCTGCCCGGTCCCCTGCCCTGGTCTTAAGCCGGGAGGCATCTCCCATCTGGCCGTGTTTTGATCTCTCGAATTTCTAAACACACAGACAAGGTGGCCCGCTGGAGGTGAGCCACCCTCGTGTCTCCTCTGCCTGAGGCAGGTTCTGTCTTCACCACCCCCTCTGCCCCTCCGCCCGTCCTCCTGACTCCGCTCGTGCTCTCGGGGAACGGAGGCGCGTGGGGAGGTGAAGGGCGCCATCATGACATCAGCCACTCGGCGTGTCTCTTGAGTGGACCTGGGGGCCCGCGTTCTGCCTTCGCTCAGCCTCGTTGGTCCCCTGGTGGATGAGTCGTCCCGATGCCACGTTGCAGTGCCATCCGCGATCACAGTCCAGAAACGAGGTCTAACAATATGCCCAACAAACCCGAACTCACCACCTTCCACCCCAGACACTGCCGTTGGGCTTCCATCTCAGTGAGTGGAGTTCTTTTCCACCAACTTGCCCAAACTGGACACCAGGGATGCTCCCTAATTTGTTTTGTCTCTAACATCTATTTCATCACCAAGGGCCCCAGGTATCTCAAATCTATTTTTTCTGTAGTTTAAAAAACAAAAAACAAAAAACACACCTTCTGATTTGGTTCAGTCAGGCAAAGCGCAGCGTGAGCGCCTGGTGGGCACCGGCTCCCCGCTGGGCACTGGGCCACCGCACTAGTCCAGGGAGCCCGAGGTGTGCGTGAGTCACGCGGGGCTCAGGTTCTGGCCCTGCCCCACTCGCGAGCCTGTGACCCTGAGCGAGTCACCAACCCTTTGACACTAAGTGTCCTCCACTGTAAATCATGACAACAGCCGTTTGCCATGGAGCTCAAACCAAAGTGTCAGCGCCCAGGAGGGCCTTGTGAATTCTAGGGCTCAATGCAGATCAGCGGTGACGAAGACTTGGCCCCTGCTCCTTAGAGACTCCCAGTCGGAGGAGGTGTGAACACTGTCTCAGCTCGTCTGGTACAAAAGGGCCCGTGTTAGCTTCTGGAAGGGTGACACACAGGACACCGGCTTCGGGCTGGGGCATTACGATGTTTGTAGAGGTTGTCTCTTCGTTCTTATCTCCTCCTCCTCCTCCTCGCATTTTTTGGCCTCAAATTTTCCAGGCTCGCTGTTTCCTCCAAGTTACCAGTTACACGGGGCGCAGTGACAGAGGGACTAGAGGAAGGAACCCTGGGAAAGCAGGGGCTGCCGCGGGCGCGCGGGCCAGGGAGAAGGCTCTGACCCAGGCCAGCCCGGCCGGCTGCGCGCCCGCGGCCCTGGGCTGGGGACGAGGCAGCGGGGCCCGCGGAGGGGCCGGTGCCCGCAGGACCCGCTTCCTCGCCAGGGATCCCCCTCACAGGCTCTGCTCCCTCCCCCACGTGATCGGTGCACGGAGCTGGGGCCTGCTGGCGAGCACCTGCTGCGACCCACTGTGTGTGTGAGTGTGAGGGACGGTGCTAGGCTCAGCGGTACCGAGAAGCGGCCATGGAAGGGCCAGCCCTGCCGTTCAGAGATGACGGTGATTGCTGGCATGTACGGATGCCTAGCGTGCACTACTTACATGGGACTGACGTGTGCGAACATGCTACTTTCATCCCGTTGGCCAGGGAGGAAGCCGAGTTTATGTAATCTGCCCGAGGTCACATGACGCTGCCTGGCAGGGCCGCGTGCACGGGTAAACACGCGAGAGAGGGCGGCGGCGCGCTGCAGGGACGCGCAGACGCCCGGGGCCGGAGGCAGGGGGCACGTGAGGATGCACAGGCAGGCCTTGGAGAAAGGCCGCTGCCTCGGGCAGAGGGGCGAGTGGCAGAGGCCTGGCCATCCAGGTGGGGGGACAATTACTTTCTCTTGCCTGGGGAGGTGGCCGTTGCTGCCAGGGCCCAGCTGGGGGACGAGGAGACGGAGTGGTGGGGATGGCAGGCGTCCCAGGTCTTTGCCCCAGGGACAACCGCTGTGCTAATGCGAGACGGCCCCTCCGGGTCCCGGGAGGCGCAGGCCCCCCAGGACAGGCCCCCGGGGAGGAGCGTTAGATTATAAATGGCGAAGAGGTGGCGCAGCCTCCTGGCTGGAAGTTACGCAGGGGCCAGCAGCGCTGTGGAGCGCCGTCCCCAGCTCCTGGCGACTCAGCCCTGGCCCCTGGACGCTCACTCTTCTCTCTGCCCTCTCGTGCAGCTCTTGCAGGAGGCCACCATGAGCTCCCTGTGGTGCTCCGGGACTGGAGACGTCATCGAGGACTGGTGTCGCTGCGACTCCACCGCGTTCGGAGCTGACGGACTGCCCACGTGTGCGCCTCTCCCGCAGCCCGTGTACGGGTCCCGGTCCCGGTCCCTCTGCCGGCCCTTGTTGGCGAGGCTCTGCTGTTAGCAAAGCTGGGGGCTGGGGACAGAAGGAAGCCGTGGGGCCGCGCCTGCAAGCAGGGGCTCTTAACCTCCCGGGGGCGGCAGGGGCGCGGACTGTCATGCCAGGAGGGATGGTTTGGCAGTAGTCGGAGGAGACGTTCAAAGGGAGTGTGGAAAGGGGACGGCCGGGTCTAGATTTGGGGGGCGAGGAAGGCTCCGTGAAGGAGGCGGCCTCGCCCTTCTCCTCGCAGGTGGAGAACGTCGGGCAGCCGGGCCCGGGGGGAGGGGTCAAGGTCTAGAATAAGGCCAACGACGCACTTCCTGGGCGCCCGGCGCCCGGTGGCGCGGTTCGGTACCGTTAGCCCCCCTGTAACGGACAAGGGGATGGACGTGTGTGGGCCGAGTGGTTTTCAAGGTCCCGGAGCAGGAGGCAGAGCCATGGCTAAGAGGCCGTGAGAGCAGCCACGGGAGGACGGAGAGGATGCCCCTGAGAGATGGCTTTGCGGGGCACCGGCAGGACCTGGTGGCCGACGGTGGGTGTGGGAAGGAAGAAGTTGAGAACGGACTTTGACTTGTGACCGGGGCGGGTGGGAAGAGGACTGAGCCACCGCCGAGGAGAGGAGCACCAAAGCAGCAGCAAGGCGGGGGAGGGGACCGGTGCCCCGGGGCAGCGGTCAGAGGGAAAGGTGGTCTGGGGCTGCGTGCGAAAGTAAACTCTGGGGAGAAGAAGATGTCAGTGAAGCCCAGAGGGAAGAGGGAAGGAACCGCAGCGCTGAGAAAGGACACTCCAGAATATGTATCACCTGCGAAGAGCGGCGGGCCGGGGCGACTGTTAGGGCGTGTCTGCATCTGAGGGGTGAACGAACGGAGCGCAAAGGGCTGCAAAGGGGCTGAGAACGGACGCGTCCGATGTCCTTCCCCTCGGGGAGGCTGCACGGACTGGCTGAACGTCGGGTGAATCCTGATGGGCCAGGGCCCAAGGCAGGAGCCCCTTCCAGTCTCTCATGTGGCATCTGCCATGGAGTGAAGCACAGAGCTGTTGTGTCTAACCACAGGCTGGTCAGGCAAAGAAAGCCCGAAGCGAGTTCAGGACCCCAGGAACCTGGAGGGCCGGGCGGGCAGGAGCAAGGCGGCGGCAGGGACAGCAAGCGACAGGGTGGTCTTGGCGAACCCTGCGCCCTGCCTGCTACGCAGAGGTGCAGGGGGAGTTGAGGGGCCCACCCTGAGCAGGAAGAAAACATAGAAAGAGGACAACATTGTAGTAGAGTGTCATTACAAGCCAATGTTTTCTCTCGTCCATGGGCCTTCTCTCTGTGGGTAGTTTGGCTTCTTGCTCTCCATAGTGTGACTTGGACCTCCCGAGTCAAAAGATGATCAAGCTCATTATTCGTACAAGTCCTCTCTTTTGGTAGAAAAGGAACCATTTGGTAGAAAAGAAGATGGTGCTTCTAGACTGCTTCACCAAGAAAGCTGCCTTTGCCACCTAACGTGGAAGCCACCGGACAGTTACGACCTCAGACACAGGAGCTCGCATTGGTACCGTGGGGCCGATTTCATGTGTGTGCTGCGTTTACTGAATGTCATAGAGATCAAATCGGGCTAAATTTTCATGAACAGGAACATCTTTAGGGACCACATTTTTCTTGTTAACTCTATAATCATTTCTCTTTGTAGCAGACCTTGGTTTCTTGAATTTTTCTTGGTAGTTGGAAATAGAAATGTACTTTAGTTTTACACAGGTCTGTGTCAGACACACACACACACACACACACACACTCACACACACTCACTCACTCACTTACTCACACACTCCTGTTTCTCAGGAAAGGCCAGCCTTAGTGTTTTCACGGAATCTGAGTTCTCAGAAAGGCTTGCTTACTTGCTTAAGCTTCCTAATGCTTATTCTTCAAAATAGCACTCTGCATATGACTCTAATTAATGAATTTGTCAATATCTGCACTGTTTTGGGTCCAGCCCATCTTTCGTGTCATATGCAAACTATGCACTTCTTCATCGTAAGCCACTAAAGAGCATGTGTTTCACATTATTTCCCCACTAGTTGAATTCCTCGCTGTGGCTCCCACCACCTCCCATGATTTCTTGTTGAAGTTCTTATCACACGTTATTATAATCACATGCATAATTGTATATTTGTCTATGGACCACGCCACAAAAACGGGCTGGAGCTGGCATGTTGCACACTGCGTCTTCAGCACTCACCAAGCACATTCTTATAAGTACCGGGTGCTTAATAAATCTTTGCTGAAGAGAAGTTGAACATTGCTTTGGTGTGATGCATCCCCAGTGCCTTGCCCAGTGATCCCTGAGACCCAGGACAGGCATCTGGGAGCTGAGTGGCGGCTAGCAGGGCAGGACAGTGGGGGCCGGGGGTAGGGAAGCCAGCGTGGGCGCGAATGGCAGGGATACGTGTGAGGGAGGGCAGCTGGGGTGAGCAGCAACTGGGAAAAACCCCAGAAGCCAGTGGTCTAGGAAGAAACAGTTGGAAGCAAGTGAGAAACCTGAGACACACACACATGAAGTCAGAAGCAGGCAGGGAATGGAAACCACTTGGACCCTTAGGAGATTCATACCAGTGAATGTCAGTAACGGTCACTGAGCGTCTGCAACGTACGGAGAGGTGTGAGACAGCAAGGCCAAGAGTGGCCAAGGTGGACGGTCCGCACAGAGGGAAGAGGCAACGAACTGGGAAAAGCAAGAAAAGGATGGAATCCAGAATCTGGATGTTCAAAGAAACCCAGGAGCTAAAACGGAAGCTGAAACGAGTTTGCAGACACGGGTCGTCACCCTGAGGACAGCCTGACATGTGGCCAGCTGTCTCTTGCCCAGTACAGCCCCCCATGAGCACCACCTCCAAACAGCCTGCTCCGAGGCCAACCTGTGGAAGGCCTGGGGGAGAAGAGATGGTGCGCCCGTAGCCGGGGAGGAAGCCAGGGCCGCGCCGGCGGGGCAGGTCCCGCTGTGCTGTGGAAGGTGAGGTGGCTGTGGCCTTGCCTGCGCTGGGCTCTCCTGGGCATCACGTTCGGTGGGCCTGGGTATGAGCATTACGGGCACATGCTCTTATTTGTCCAGAGAAAATGCAGAAATTAAACTTCCCAGCTCTCAAAAGTGCTACCCCAAAAGCCCTGTCCCTGGCCGCGTGCGATGCACACAGGCAACCAACCATCTTTGACTCACTCGCTTCCTTAATTACAAATGCACGTTGAGTTCCTAACCCGTAACAGGCACTTAGATGAATAAACTATAAATTTCAAGGACCTTTCAAGAAACTTGACCCTCGACGGAAGGGGGACGGGCCTTCCAAGAGGTCTCTGTGGCGGTGGGGTAAGAAGTTAGAGGAGCCTGTAGTGCGGCAGCTGAGGAGGTGGCCAGCGGTGGCGTCTGAAGGCCCTCGCGGGCCTCAGCAGGGGCCCCGTGTCACGTGCCCTCCCATCTGCCCCCAGGCTGCGGCTGTCCACGGCTCACGAGCCCAGCAGCACCCTCGTGGTCCTGGCATGGGAGCACTCGGAGCCCCCCATCGGCGTCCAGGTCGTAGACTACCTCATCCGCCAGGAGAAGGTCACCGACAGGCTGGACCACTCCAAAGTGGAGACAGGTGAGTGTCTCGCGCTCCAGGGGCTCCTCCGGATGCAGAGGGAGGAGAGAGGTGCCCTGCCCCCCCCACCCCCCACTCTGGGGCCCGTGTCCCAGAGCGACAGCTGGCGGGGTGGGTGGCGGAAGCGCCCGCTGTCTTTTTCAGTTACAAGGTTTGCATGGTGAGCTCTGACCAAGCCTTGTTTTGATTTTGTTTTTCTTTTTGTTTTTAAAAGAAGTGTCCATTTCATTGCCTCCAGGCACACTCAGGGAGAAATAACAACGCAGCGCACTGTAACCCTAGCCCGCAATTAGGACACAGTCCTGTGCAAACCACTGCCATGATTACAGAAGAAAAGATTTCTTTGCTAATAACCCCCCTCCAGGCAAAAGCATGTGCAGACAGACTCACTTCCCCCACGTCTTGTCCTAAAGCAAACTCTGCTTTTGCCAGGACCAGCTAGAAGGGGACAGCCTTACAGTTAAACGCCCCGTGAGAAACGTCCTGTGCCTGGCTGTTTCACTGTCTACGCATAGGATAGGTGAATGGAAATCGTTCCCAAAGCTTAGACGTGAGTGTGGTCACCGATAGGATGGTGGCACCCACAGCCTGACTCAGGGCGAACATCTGGTGAAACTGTCACTGGGCAGTAGAGACGTACTCAGTGCTTTCGGGCAGGGGTTGCTGTCTACATCTCTTCCAAGGCCCTTCCCCTGGTGGGCACAGGTACCGCCACGGCCTGGCCATGACCATTGGCCAGATGGCTGTTCTCACCAAGGACATTTCATAAAAGAACTTCCAAGTGTGGCCTGTCCATCTTCCTTCTTTGTTTCTGACCTCGTTCTGGGCAAGTGGCTCCAAATCACTTAGTTAAACGGGCAATGGCCATGAAAACTCATTCCTTCTAAGTCTCCTTTCTCTACTTGGAACTGGGGAAGCCCGGGGACCAAGCGGTTTTCCTGTGAAGTCCTGAGTTGACCCCGTGTCCTCCCTGCTTGGCCATCTGGGTTCCTCATGCCTTCTCCATCTCCTCCTCTGGGCAGAGACGGTGCTGAGCTTCGTGGACGACATCATCTCGGGCGCGAAGTCTCCCTGCGCCATGCCCTCACAAGTGCCCGACAAGCAGCTCACCACCATCTCGCTCATCATCCGGTGCCTGGAGCCCGACACCATCTATATGTGAGTGACGCACAAGACACGGCCGTTCCTCACTCCCAGCAGCTCGGGGCTCCTAGCTGGTGCCCTTTTGCTACTTGAGTTCCTGTAGAGACGTGCAGAACTTTTGGGGGTCTCAGGTCTTGTCCCTGTCGGCCTTACACAGACCCTTCTAGACACGGGAGGGGGAGGATGGAGAGAGATACTGGAGTCCCATCCTGCAAAGAGTTTGCAGTCTAGAGGGGAAATAGGTAAACAGCTGACTTCGACATCAGGCAGAATGGAAGTACTGCTAGATGGAAGAGCAAGCAACACGTAGAAGAGAAAAGAAAGGGATTAACTGTAACTTGAGGGGATGTCCTCTGAACTGGGCTGTGTAGCATTTTAGTAGGAAGGGTCCTGTTGGGAAAGGCGCCCCAGGCGGGCGAAACGGCGAGGAGGCGGTAAGAGGCTTGAGGGTGAGGAGCCGGGTAATCCATGGCGGGGGAGGGAGCAGATGGTGGGTAAAAGGATAGAGGAGCCTGGGGAAATAGTGTGGATGCTGTAAATCAAGGGAGGAGATTAATTTTTTGGAGGAAAGAAGTAGAATAACAAGAACCCTGCTGTGGAAAGCTAGCTCCAAGGGCATTGAAACAGACAGTTTACAGAGGTTGCAGATGGCCAGCATCTTCCTTCAAAGGAAACAGCGTGACCCCCACATCACAGCAGCTAGAGCAGCCCCGCTCTCCCTGGGGCTCGTCCCCGTCCCGCCTCCTGCTCGGGGCGGCCCGGAGACACTCGCGAAGCAGAGACAGGACGGACGCCGGAGGAGGAGAGAGAGTGATGGCATCTACGTCACGACGGGACAATGGGGGGGAGGGCAGAGGCAGAAACCGTCGTAATGTAGCTCTGGGACCGTCTGACCCCATCAGGATGAAAAACATTGAACAGTTTACAGATGAGGTCTCGAGAATAGAGGCGAGGTTTCCCGAATAAATCATTTCCATTTCCACAGTCAGAGAGTTCAAGGACGAAAAGCAGTAGAAACGCAAGTGGCATGGATTGCAGGGTGAACTTGGATGCCCAGGCTGAATACCTCCAATACGGGAAGAGGGAGTGTAACCGGGGGGCCATGCAGAGGAAGGTCAAATACATGAAGGCCAGCGTCTGGGAGGGGAGTAGGACGAGGTGGAGGGACGCCCCTGCTGATGCTTGGACGAAGGGACAAAGGCGCCGGCGATGAAATGCAGCAGGAACTACCATGGTCAGGGAGGGCTCCCCCGTGCCCGTCCCGAAGTCACACTGTCCATTAGGCGTTTCGAAGCTCCTGTGAGCAGGAGGCCGGCAGAGTTGCCTGTGGGGAGCAGGGGACCCTCCTCATATTTGGCCCGATGTGGCTGTGTTTGCTGATGAAAGAACTGAGGCCGATACCGCCTCCCACTCTGATGTCTTTGGCAAACTTCCAGGGTTGCCCTTTTCCGGCCTGTGACACGTGGGCCTTGATTATTGGACAAGTTCAAGCCCGCGCATGGAACTGAGGGGAAGATAGCCAGCCTCCACCAGGTGGCGCTGCGGATCGCCGGCCAGGGCCCGCGGTGGCCGGCCCATTGCTCTGTGCGAGGGAGGAGAGGACCGAGCTTCCGCCGCTGGGGCAGGAAGGCAGGAGTCTGGATTAAGGGTCGAGAGCACCTGGGTCCCCCGCCCCAAGCCGGGTTTCTAACCATTAAGTGCTCGTAGGTGAGGCTCTGAAAGTTTCTGCAATGAAGGCTTCTCATCTCTAAGATAAAGGAGGGCAGCCTTCATCCAGGGACACCACGTGAGGGGCGTCTCAGCCCTGCGAGATTAAGGGGACCGGGCCCATCTTGTACCTGAGGAACCTGCGGTTCGGCCCCACCGAGCAGCTTTTCCAGAATCACGCCGCTGCATGTCTGAGCTGCGGCGGTGAGAATGGAATCCCGGTGAGCGCTTCCCCACGCACGACGTCTCACGCCCCAGCCACTCCGGGCTGCCAGGCGGATCCAGAAGCATGATCTTAGCACCTCAGGTGGAAGCACAAAGCTGGCGCTTTCCCTGGACCCACAGAGGTAGAACAGCTGGCTGGCCTGTCCTGTGCATTTTATTTAATGCCCTTAAAAATTGTTACTCTCCCCACAAGACAGATCCGGTTAAGAATCTGTGGGTGAAAAGTATCTTTAAGGGTGTCTAGTCCAACATCTTCATTTCAGAGACAGGAAAACAGGCTAGAGTGGGGCGGTGACCCCAGCCTCCCAGGCCACCGCCCCTCCATCCCGGAGTGGGCTCCCAGGAGAGCCACGGCCTTTTGGGGCACGTGACAGTGGCCAGGTAATTCAGAGGAAGGAAGCAGGTCCGGAGTGAGCAGCAGCAGCCACCACACTGGAGGGGGACGCGGCCGGCCCAGCACAGGGGGCCGAGGGCGCAGGCCTGGAACGTCGCTCCCCCGGGCGGGGCCGGGCCGGGCCGGGCAGTGCTGGTTCGCCGGCCCTCCGGGTTGGGACAGGGCCTCCCTCGCCTGTCCGGCAGCGCTGGCCGGCCCGTTTCTGGCCTCCGCGTGTTCCCTGGTGGACACGCTGACACCAACAGCAGACGGAGGTTTCCCGAACGACCGCCTGTGGTGCTCCCCATGTGTAAGGCACCCCCTGGACTCTCACAGTAAAAAGAAGCTGGTGGCTCCTTCAGTGTCCTGTGGGGTCGAGGGCACTGGGACCCCTGGGGAGTGGCTCATAGGTCAAGCATCCCCTCTACTTAGAAGGTGGTGGGACACGTCTATACCTCAGTAATTCCTCAATCAAGTGTGAAGGAAAAACGCTTGCGGAAAGCATTTCCTTTCCTAATACCTGGCTGTGCTATTAAATACAGTAAGTGCCTAGGAGCCTGAATTTTATGCTAATTGCCCTGTCAGAGAAATCTGGGAATTAACTTGAGCACAGGCATTTTTCTCAGGATTGTTTCAGTGTAGCTGGAACTTAATGCAAGTTGGGACAGAAAGCCAGGCTCCCCAGAGCGGAGACACAAGCTGGGGACGTGTGGGGGTGGGGAGACACGGTCCCAGGCTCGAGGCGGAGGCCGGCGGGGCGGGGCGGACGGAGCGCTGGGTCAGTGTTAGAGGCCTGGGCGTGACACCAGAGGTTGCTATCGCTGTCCCAGGCCCAGGGCGGGAATGCCCGCGTCAGTCCTCAATAGCCAGTCCTCGTCTCCTCTGGGCAGGGGCCTCTTAGAACCGCATCTTCTCACTGTCCTGCTCTCAGCGGCACCGTTCCCCTCGGGACTCGGGGCCCGCAGGGCAGCATCCGATGTGGCTGGCGTGAGACTTGCCTGCTCCCCATCCCTGGAGCCTCCGATCCAGCGGGTCTGGGTGCAGCGTGAGAACTCTCATTGCTGTTGCTGCTGGTCTGGGGGCCCCACCCTGAGGGCTAGGGCCCTCCGTCTTCCATCAAATAATGTCCCCAGACAGCAGCTTACAACCCGGGGCCCAACAGGAAGCAGTGAGAGGCTCTAGACCACGTGCCAGATGGCCTGGTTCGTGGCAGGAAGTGTGTCACAGAGTCACAGGGCGAGCAGCTGGCACCCTCCCGCCCGATCCAGGCAGAGCGCGGCCGTCCGCAGGTCCTCGGTTCTCTCTGGTAACGACACCCCCGCCTCCCTGCCAGGTTCACCCTGTGGGGTGTAGACAACACAGGACGGCGCTCCAGGCCCAGCGACGTGATCGTGAAGACCCCTTGCCCCGTGGTGGATGATATCAAAGCCCAAGGTGAGCAGCACTGAGGCCGGCAGGTCTACAGGTGGATGCCCCGGGGACCTCCCCGGCCACCAGGAGAGAGGGAGCACGTGGGGAGCCCCTCAAGCTCTGCCTCTCGCGGCAGCCCTTGTAGTAGCCCCTCACCGCACAGTAAGTCATGGGGCCAGCAGGGGGCGCTGACGAGGCTCCGGGTGCACGGGAGTCACACCGGGTGCCCAGTGCGACCTGATGCCCCCGCGGCCTCTGCCCTCGGGATGCTTGTTGGGTCACTTACGCTCTTCGTATTTTTCGCACATCTAAAAAGTTATTTTGAATTAAAACATGGAAAGGCTGCAGTTTAGGAATTGCTATTCTACTCCCTCCCCACCAAAGATGTTGTCAAAATCTTTTCTCTATCCTTCGGAGTAATTATGGAGCCATTCTGTGGTAACGAATCGTCTCTTCCGCGCACGATGCCCCTGGCTGGTGTGGTGCCGTCCCGCGTTCTGAGACTTGTCACATCCCCTCCACAGCCAGAACTTAGCTCTCCTGGTACCACTTCTCCAGGGCGCTGGTCGACCACCGGTTTCTCCAGTAGAACTGAACCGAGATACCTGCACACTGATCGGGACGCTGACTGATGCTGGAAGTTTAGGTGTGTAGGTTTCCACAGGACACATGGTGCGGCCAGACTGACCCTCTGGCACCCCTCCAGTCACCTTACGTGTGGCTCTGGGCCCCAGCTGTCAGGCCGCCCACCAGGGACACCATCCCTCAGCGTTCAAGGGCTGATTCCGTGACAATGTCGAGTCCTGGGGGGAGACCAACCTGGACCCATTCCCAGCAAAGTCACAGGCCCTGCAGCACGTTCCAGCTCAGAAAGGACTTCCATGCTAACTGCCTCATTAACCAAGCATCGCGTGTTGGGGCGCTGTTACCCGATCATCATCAGGCTCCTTCTTAAAACTCTTTCCTGGGGTGCCATTCCTCTTGTGACAAAGATTAACAGGCCTATAGGGGCCGGCATGGGGCGGCCCGGGCCCGCGCCCCGTGGAGGCCTCATGGCCTTTCTCGGTTCCTCCGATCCGCTTTCTCCAGCCGACCTCCCCAACTCCCGCCCCTTCCCGCCTGCAGAGCTCTGATCAGGGGTCCCTCCCTCGGCCCGGAAGGGGTCCGGGGCTGTGGCTGGAGTCCTCGTAGCGCCCGTTCCTTTCCTTCAGAACAAGTATCTCTGTTTTGTTACTTTGATCACGTGCTGAATGTCTGCCTACCTCACTGGACAGTGAGCGCCATGCGGGCAGGGTCCCAGTCTCTTTTTGACCAGTACGATGTCCCTAACACCTGAATGGCAGAAAGGTGACCAACTGGTTACAGAAAAGCTTACTCTGGAGTCAGACCACCCCTGTTCAAATTCCTGCTTTGCCATCTGTCTAACTCCTTGCCCTTGAGCAGGTTATTCACTTCATCCCTCAGTTTATGAATCTGTAAAATGGGACGAGGGGTCATAGTGCCATACATAATACATTTCCAGTCAGAGTTAAATGAGGGAATTTATGTGAAGTGTTTCTTTAAGTGCCTGTCCCATAGGCAGTGTGTGGTGTTCGGGAGTCTATGCATTCTGGGATGGTGGCTCTCATGTTCACCCTCCTACACCTGGGGTCAGGAGCCACCGAGCAGGGGACTTGGAGGTGAACAGGCACATCGGCCAGGCCACAGTATACCTCTTCTTGAAATGTGCACCACATAAATGTCCAGCATCAGTCAACGTCTCTATTCCTGTGCAACTATGTGAATATGCAAATGCTATCATTAACCACGCCCGCTTTCTAGGAGGAGGTCAGTATTTACTGAATGAATAGAACAGTGGCCCCACTTTAGAGACGCAGACTCTGGGATTCAGAATAGAGGTCAGCTGACCGGGGTTGGCAACTTAGCATTTAACAGAGCCAGGCACAGGCTCCTTACTTGGCATCCGTTCCCAGTTGCCTACAGTGTTAATTTAGGTATTTAGAGGGTTATTGTGTAGAAGACTGAAAATCTTTCTTTGTTCCTAAATACTGATGCAAGAAAGACCTACATTTAAAAAAAAAAAAAGTGTTCCAGTTAAACACCAAAACGTTCTCCCTTTCAGAACTGTTAGTGTCCACGGGGTGTTAGAGTTGAGTGCAGTGTCCCTTATGTACAGGACAGAGGCGCTTCCCTCTGGGGCGAGCGCCGCGTGGCTGACAGGGGGTGGGCTGCGTGACCTTTGAAGGCCTCTGCACCCCCTCAATGAGGAAAGCAGAGTCCGGGGTGGAAAACCCCCAAGTGAGAGGCTGTGTGGACAGGACCCGTGGCACCGCCTGTCGTCCTGTGCCGACTCCTCACTCCACGCTGGAGAGGACCTGGCGAGGAGGTGGCGGCCCAGCTCTTAACATGTCGGAGAGTTTGCGAATGTCCTTGCCGGCAGCGGTGGGCTCCTTGGACTTGCTTGCTGAGTAGGAAGCAAGCCAGTGGGACGTCCGGCAGGCAATTAGCAGGTAGGAGGGTCCTGGAGTGGCTTCAGCTTGCTCCCGAGTCTTGAGTTCCAGTCATTTAGCTGACATTTGTTTTTTGACCTCCTGTCTAGTCTGGCCTCACAGGCAAGGGCAGGACAGAAAAGGAAGGAAAGTATTGCAGTGTCTCGATGGAGCAGGGGTAAGAATTTATTCACGCCAGCCAAAGACACTGCTACCGTGATGCCTGCCATCCCCAGCGGCCCTGAATGCCCTTGGAATTGTGACAAGACATTAGGTTGCTATGCCTTAAAGTTAACCAGGGGGTCCAGTGGGCTGCATCTGGTTTAGAAACCTATAGGCTTAGTTTCTTCATCTCCAGATTTACCTTTGGGTCTGAGACAGCACTGCTGGCTGATCTTGGTTCCCAGCTGTTTAGGAAGGAAATGTAAACAAATTTCCTTTCTGATAGATTTAATGAGAAAACTCTTCATGATCAAGTGCTCTGAGCTCCGCAGGAAAAAATGCCAAGGCTTTCCAAATTCATTGCCCCTTTGCCACATCACCAAGTTCAGCTTAGCAATGTATGCCTTGGGGGCAGAAATATAAAAGCTGTAAATTAAACTGAAAGATGACTCACTTGGAACTGCGGAATGCACGGCATCCAGTTTACGTGTCATGCAGACCTGCGAGCTTGCCTTCCTGTCCGGCCGGGGCGGCCCTCCCCGCGCCCCGCCGCCCCTAGGGCGCCCCCCATGGCCCGAGGTGGGACTGAGCGAGGTGGGACTGAACACGCCTCGCTTCCTCCCCGAGCCGACGGCTGCCCCCGCGGCCCAGGTTGCTTTTATAGGACCCACTGGGCACCCAAGCACAGGCAGCCTCCAAGTGCGGGGAGTTCACGCCTCCTGGGGGTGAATGTGAAAGCCCTGTGGACCAACACGGAGGGGGGGCCAAGATAAAGTCTTCTCCCCCCACCCCACGGATGGACGGGTGAGGGTGCAGTAGCTTCCTACGTCCTCTGGACGCAGCGCCCCCACCCCAGTCCCTCGTGCGCCCTCTCCTGGTGCCTCTGCCTGCCTGGGATGGCACTGCCCATCAAGTAATAATCTCTGAGCTTTTGCCCCAGGCTCTCTATTTTTAGGAAACGTGGGTAAAGACAACGAATATTATAACAAGTTGACCAAGATGGTATTTCAATTCAAAAGACGAGGGACTTTCAATTTGTATTGTATTCAAAGGCTTTCATTTTATAGAAGAAATAACTGAAACCCAGTGGGGTAAAGGTAAAGTGAATTACTCAACCCACTTTCTCCAGATGCTGGGCTCGTTATTAAGTAATATATATATTAATTAATACTTAATATATTAAGTATTGCACACATGTGCCTGTATATATAATCGTCTGTGTATGTGTGCATATATAAAATCTTATTTACTTGTCTGCCCTCCTCAGAAATAGCGGACAAGATCTATAATCTCTTCAACGGCTACACCAGCGGGAAGGAGCAGCAGACGGCCTACAACACCCTCCTGGACCTGGGTGCACCCACGCTCCATCGGGTCCTCTACCACTACAACCAGCACTACGAGAGTTTCGGCGAGTTCACCTGGCGCTGTGAGGACGAACTAGGGCCCAGGTAAACTTAGGCTTCATTGCCTCTTATGCAGACCTCAGCTCGCGGAAAGTTTGTCCCTCCGCCACTACAACGATGCGTTTACGCGTCTATGCAGGAGCCCTGGGTGAGCGTCGGTGCTGGGAGATGAGGCCCTGTGATCTCGGACAGCTCGGCTCATACCGACCGGCTCAGCATAAGCTGTGTCTCAGTGGTCAGGCCATGGCTGCACTTCCCGAGCTCTGGAAACGCTTTGCCTGGATCTGTTTAACTGCCTCTTTGTCATGTGACATAGCATTCCAAATGCTAAAATAGTAGGAGCTGAAAGCTTGGTCTTGTGAAAGAAAATTCAGAATTTTATTGGAGAGGTTATCCAAAAATATTTTTTGCGTATGAACTTTGCACGTGTTGTATATGCATTCTACAGACACATTTTGAGCTGAATTCCACATCCTCTTAAAGGACAACATAGGGGCAGCCAGTGACCCACTTTGGCATCTATCTTGGCCGAAGTTAGGACATAATAGTGTTTGCCAGTTTCCTCTGGCCCTGGGGCTACAACTTCCCAAAACTCAGTACACACTGCTTTTTGATTGCACAACCCAGATAGGTCTTTGAAAGAGAAGAATGGGAAGAATGTGTAGAGATACTACCTTTCTTTTGTTCCATTCTTTATGGCCTTTTGTTGCTACTTTGAGAAAAAGATTTACCTACAAATACTAGAATTTGCAGATAAACACAGTGATGAGGCTTTTCACACAGAACATGAGTACCCGTATGTCCCAAAATTATTTAGCAGCTGATGGGGAAAAAAAAAAAAATAGAGCAAGCACTTGGAGGATGATAGGGGGAGAAGGGAAAACAAGAAAAGGAAGACAATCAACACCGGTGTGTCCTCCAGCACGTACAGAATCCTCGCACTCCAGACAACAGGGCTTAGCAGAAGGCCCACCCAAAAGTCGCGCTGTCCATCTGGCCTCTGACCGGCCCGGAGGGAGACCCCGCCTCCATGCGCCTCCTAGGACCTGAAATTATTAATGGTCCTGGAAGACCGTTGTTTAGGACACCGCCCCCTAGTTCCTTACTTTTGAAGGGAAGAGGAAATTTAGGATTGTCTTCTTAAAATAAAACGATTTCATGTGTGAGTTCAGGAAGAATCTTTATTCAGTCCACAAATTATTTCCTGATGTCTGTAAAGACTGGTAGTCTCTGAGCGAACAGGTGCCGTGGACCAGGACACGGAGGAGGAAAACAGATAAGGGACTTCGTTTGTTTTGTCTCAGTTTTGGTAAAAAGCCCACCCTGGGTTAGAAAGCGAGTACATGTTAAGTGTTCCCCCTGCTCCGTACCTTACTGCATTCCTGCCTCTTTTGCTCATGTTAGCCCCCCGCCCCCACTGCCCCTCCTCCCCGCCCCCCTACCCCCTCCCTCATCCCCCCCTCTTCCCCTGGCATTTATTGGGTGTAAATATACAGTTTTTGGTCAGGGAACATAAACATCACAATTTGAATAGCACGGACGTTTCCTCTAGCATCTTCGCGTCCAAGGGCATTTGGAATGCCAGTTCCTCTCTTGTAACTCAAGAGTCAGAAGGGGGTTGGTTAGCGGAGAAAGTGAGAGGGGAAGAAGTACGTGTCTCCCTGTGTAGTAACGCCCACTGCTGACTAGGTACTCTTCTCCCAAAACTCCCCTCCTGGGCGTTTTTACTGGTTTTCTAAGACTCCATGAGATTAGGAAAGAAGTCATTTCATCAGCTTGTGAAAGATGAAGTTGTCCTCGTGAATGTCAAGGACCTCAGGGACAACCACAGGGAGCACGGGCCTCTGCCTTGAGATTCATCAGCCCACTTCGGAGCCACCTGTAGGACTGACTGACAAGGGCTCTCTTGGTACCCACGTCCCAGGAGCACGCAGAAAGGATTCCCTCAGTTTGGTCCAGTCCCAGCCATTAAAATTCACAGAGGCTTCCAGGTTGAGCTGAGGGTTGAAATACTTTGAGAACAACAATGGCTGCCTTGCTCTGAAGGAAGACCACCACACGGGCTCTGAGAGGGTCAAGGGTAGACCCACAGTAATCATTATTTTTTAAAAAGTGAGCAGTGGAAGGAGCCACGAAGACTCATGGGGTCAGTCAGTCCATTTGTTGGAAAGGATGAATAGGCTGTGCTGCTTCACCCCTACTTCCTAAAGCTAATAGACGTGCTGCTCCTCTCTCTGCCTTCCTCCTCCTGTCCTCCACCTCCCCAGAATTTGTCAACCACTCGTGACATGTAGCAGGACAGGTTCAAAGGCTGGGCCACCAGAGCGCCTGTGGATGCTGGCTCTCAGAAAGCCTGCGTGGCCCACCTGGGGAGGCACCAGGAGGGGAGACCCCGTCTGTACAGGATACGGAGCCAGCCCACGGAGCGTGCCTTTGATTTCCTCTGACCCACCACTGAAGTTGGAGAAAATGCGACCGCACACTCGCCAGACCCCTGACTTTGCGGCTGAAGCCCAACACCTGTCCTCGTCGCAGGGCGCCATCCCCGGCATGCGGTGATGTCGTGGCCAGGACAGGAGGAGGAGGAAATGAGCGTGATTGCTGGTCCTTGAGAGCTCGTTCTAAACGGGGCGCGGAAACTCCCGTTTTCTGGAAGGAGTTGTTGATTACATGGGGAGGGGTGACTTCTTACCCAAGAAGTGACCCTGGCAGTCGATAGAGAGCGCGAGGGTTCTCACCGAGCTGCCCGGGAGAGCGTTTCCCAGCTTGTTCACATCAGTCTGTCTGCATGGTCTGTGGTCAGTACATCCTTGAAGAGGAGGCGCGCAGCTGAGCGAGGGGTTCCTGCGCCTTCCCACAGCCTGAGTGTTCAGGGTCAGGGCCCGGGGGGTCCAAGAGCGGCCAGCAGGTAGCCCCGTCTCCGCCTCCAGGACGCCAGGAAGAAGCCCACACACGAGCCAGGCGGTGGCCGCAGCCCGTTTCCCGTGGCCGAGTGCAGGCGGCCGCACTCCGTTCCAGGGTGGGAGGCCTCGGGGAGACCTCGCGCCCTCTGCTCCTTTCCCTCTCCGGGATCCACGACAGTGCGGGCGCCTCGCATCACCTCCCTCCCCATTTTTGAGTGGGGCTCGATGGCGACGGCCGCCGGCCTTCCTGAGCAGGAAAGGGGGGTGGGGCCTGAGCCGCTCAGAGGCTGGTTACTCCAGCGACGTGTGCCGCTGGAGGCCCGCCCTTGCCCAGGGAGGTCCCTGTGTCCACGCACCCCGAGGGTGGTGCTGGCATGGTCAGTGTCGCACTCAGTCACCTCCGAATGGGTGGAATCAGTTACGTTTGATGTCCCCTGACGTTCGCTGCATCGCTACTGCTACTCAGTGCAGAAATAGCTTTGAAAAGGGAGCTATTCAAACACCTTATCTGTCATTTAGTGGTTAAATTACTGGCTTGAAAGAAAATTGATTTGTCTCTCAAAACTGACAGCTCTATGATCTTAAAAGGGCAGACAGTCCCACTGAAATATCAGTAATTTTCTCTACATTTCTCCTTATTGCATTTTGTTTCTGTCTGCCCGTTTGCATATCCATTTTATTAATCATCTCATTCATTCATTCATTCGCTTCACAAATATTTATGGAACGCCCCTGTTCTAAGTGCCAACGATAGAACGGTAAGCAAAATAGGCCGGCTCTGTCCCTTGAGCTCTAAATGTCATGCCCTTTGCTTTCCCCGCCGTCCCTTCCTTCTAACTTCTGCGCTTGATCTCTAGGAAAGCCGGCCTCATCCTCTCCCAGCTTGGGGACCTCAGCAGCTGGTGCAACGGACTCCTTCAGGAGCCCAAGATAAGCCTGCGACGCAGCTCCCTCAAGTACCTGGGCTGCCGCTACAGCGAGATCAAGCCCTACGGACTCGACTGGTCGGAGCTCAGCCAGGACCTCAGGAAGACGTGCGAGGAACAGACCCTGAGCGTCCCCTACAACGACTACGGGGACAGCAAAGACATCTAGCACGCTGCTGCCAGCAGAAAGCAGGAGCAAGGAGGGGACATCTGGGCTGGTTGGCGGATTTTTACTCTTTTTTTAATGGAACATTAAAACCTCCGCAGGTGACTGCTAAGCCAGGGAGCAGCGGACCCTTGCGCCCTGCGGGACTCCTCCGCGACGAGGTTCTGCGTCTGCGCAGCCGGGACGCCCGCCCCCACGGCCCCGTGCAGCGCCGTTGTTTCAGGGGCTTACTTTGGGGCTTGTTTTGTGGTTGATTTGTTTTTCCCCCAAGAGGTTCATTGAAACTCTCACAAATTCTGTCATGTTTCCCATGAACAGACTATCAAGTTAGGGCGCCCTGTGCTCCCTGAGTCCTTTACAGCTGGGGACACAGGCGGCCAGAGAGCCGGCCCCGGCGGCCCAGCTCACAGAGGACGGGGAGGCAGCCCTGCGCAGGCCTCGTGCTCGCCCCCGGGGGTCCTGCCGCTCACCCCACTCCCAGCCGGGGAGCCACAAGGGGCCCCCACCGCCAGGTCAGTGTTGCAGCCACCGAAGTGATTACCGGTCACGGGGAACTTCTGCTCGTCACCCCGACCCCTCTCACCGCCCCCCCCCCCCCGCGCCCCCGCAAATTTTTACTTCATCATGTTGTTAGTTTTGCAAATCTTTTCTCTGGAGGAGCAGAGGCGGGAGAACGCGCCCCCGCCTTCGCCCCGTCCAGTTGCCGGGAGCCGGAGGCCCTGAGCAGGCGTGCTCCGCGCACTTCAGGGAAGGGCCGCCCAAGCGGCAGTGGGGGCCAGTGGCGGCGGCCCGGCCCACGGGCAGACCAGCCTTCAGCACGCCCCGTGCGGGTGGGCCAGAGACAGCCCCCGCCACCCCCACCCCCCTCGGAGGCCTGAACATGCCCTCAGCACCCTGCCTTTGACCAGGCTCCTCACTGAGAGACGCGAGGGAAGGTCAGGAAGAAGATGGAAGATCTAGAAGACCAGTCGCTGGGCTACGCTGATTTTTTCCTAAATAGTAACAACAGGCCACGTTCATCGAGCACTTACTAAGTGGTGGACACCCTGCCCCGGGGCCCTGTGTGAGCCCGGCTGTCACAGCCCAGACAGTGCACAGGTGCTGGCCCCTTGCCCCCCACCCTCGGCCTTGTTTCCGAGCGGCCGGGGTGGCCAGCTGCCCCCGCTGTAAGCCCCACAGGGTCCTGCCCAGAGAGCGCTTTCCCTTCCCCATGCCCGCAGGGGTCAGTGTGCCTGCCACGGCGGGGGGAGGAGCCCAGGGCACCCAGGGCAGCTGGCGCACCTCTGGGACCATGGCCTCTGCCCACAGGCGTCCCCACCAAGGCCAGGAGCACAGGCTGGGCTGCCGTCACCCCATGGAGAGAGCGGCAGGTCTCCCTCCCGCTAGGGGCTGCCCCACCTCAGAGAACCCCCCCACCCTGCCCACCCAGCACAAAGGCTGCAGAAGACCGCCGTCCCACCTGCGGTCCATGCAGGGCCTCGGCTATGATGCTCTGGGGACAGTGTCCCACCATCACCAGAGAGGGAGAGGCCCTGGACACCCACCCGTGGGCGGTGAGTTAAGGCTGTCGTCACTGCCTCTGCGTTCCGTCCTCTAGGCAAGTCCCTGCAGGAACCCGGGCCCACGGAGCAGGGGCGGGGGCTGCCGAGGGGCTGTCGCCACCTTCCTGCCCCAGCGGTGGGCAAGGTGAGGCCAGGGGGCTGTGCCAGGGTCACCCTCTTTTGTCCCTTCCTCCTGTTCTACTAAAATAAGAGCAGCTCCCTGTTGCCAGCCTCCCAGTGCCCCGCTTCCTTCTCGCCCGCTCTAGCTCCGCTGCTCCTGTTCCCCCCGGCCCTTCCTTCCCCGTGACTCGTCCTCCCGTGTCCCCTTGTGCCCCCCTCACTGCACACACACACAGTACACACTAGACACACCCCCAAGGCTGGGTCCCATCTACTTTCAAGTTAAAAGTAAGGCCCAGTAGGAATGGGGCAGGACAGAGTCTTAGGATCCCCTGGGACTTGCCCCTCGGCAGACCCCACCGGTCCCGCTGTCGGAAGTGCGCCTGCAGGAGCCCACCCCAGCCAGAGAGGGGGCTGGTCCCGGGCCAGGGTTAGCCCTCAAGTTTCCACGCTGCCAAACAGGTCTCAGGGGAGTCAAGGCCCCTCTCTCCACCACCCCCTCGCAGCCCCGGGACTCGCGCGGGGCCCCTCCTGAGTGCACGTGACCCACTGGGAGAGCGCAGACCTTCCACAGAGTGTGCAGTCATTTCCCATGCAGGGTGGCCGGTTCGTTATTTTTAGGTAACCACATCTCTCGATACTCAAATGTTCTATTAAAAAACCGAGTGTGAAAGAAACACTTTGCTACTTTAGAAGGAAGAAAAGACTATAATGTGACCACCTTCAGGTACAGCAGTATTGTTTAAAAGAGAATTATTGTACGATTATTAAAAAATGGAATAATCAACTAAATTAAAAAAAGCTGTTAGTAAGTGTTGGGTGTGTGGGTGTTACCTTGTGTCTTTAAACAATCTGCGTTGGGTTGGACCGCCTGGGGACTGTTCAAGTTTTAAACGTTAGGCTGTAAACACAGACCGTATAACCTGTCATCTGAACGGGGGGGGGGGGGGGGAGTTAAATTTAACGGCAAATTATAAACTTAGAGTATCGCCGCGCAGTGACGATGCTTTCTCGCTGCCACCTTCTCCGCACAGTAAGCCAATGAAATTCATTGCGTAGCTGCCATCATTCGGGCACTGAGCGCTGTCGGAAGACGCGCTGCTGAGTAAGACAAGCCTGACCTCCGTCACCAAGCGTGGCATTTGTGGGGAGAGCTAGACACCGGCCCATCGTGGCAAAAGCAACGCGCACTGACAGAGACGCTCACGGCGTGGGAGCCACGGGGATGCCGGCCTTGGGCACCTGAGAGAGACGCTGCCAAGGCCCTCGTGGCCACGGTCGCATCTGGCGTCCTGCCGGGGCTGGCGTGGGGAGGCGCCCCCGCCCGGCGCGCAGCCCAAACACTGCTCTCCCTTCTCCTCTCTACGAGGTAACTGAACCACCGTCACGCGACACCCTTCACCCTCCACAGCTGCTGTTAGGTGTCCGCACACTTAGGAGGCCCTCATGAAAAGTGCCGACGAGTGTCCTAGTCTCTGTGCGGCAGGAACGGCTCATCAAAGACGACGACGGCTGCGGCCGCGGGTCCGCTGAACCACGGCCGTAGACCCTTCGACCCCTCCCGTCCAGGAGCGCGCTCTCTGGCTCTCCCCTGGAGTGTGACCAGTTAACCAGCTGATTATGGTCAAAGTGACACGATCTGACTTCCGAGTCTGAATCACGCAAGGCCTTGGGACATCCGCCTTCTCCTCTGGAGCTCTTGCTCTCAGAGCTCCGAGTCAACACCTAAGAAATCTGAGGCCACTGCGGTGGGGCCCCCACACTCGGGGCGCCATGCCAGAGAGGTGACCTGTAAGCTCCGCAGAGCCCAGCCCTGTAGACATTCCTGCTGAGGCACCTGACACGCGAACAGAGCTGTGTCACACCCTGCAGACGAGTCCCTGTGCCAGCTGCATGCCACCCTGCAGTCTCTAGCACTGTCGCATGAAGAGAAGACTCACCTAGCCAACCCCAACCTGAGTTCCTGACCCTAGAAATTAAGCAGTACAATAAAATGGTTATTGTTAAGGTCAAGGTGAGTGAACTGACCAGCAAAATTTCACCAAACAAGGTTTATGTCTGTTTTGTCTCGCGATGATGGGGAGGGGGTCTTATACGGAGCAAAACTGACAAAGACGACGCGCCCACGCCCTGCTGCTCGCCCTGGACGTCAGCGCAGGGAGAAAGCCAGCCTGACTGCGGAGCTGGGCCTGTGCACGTTCAAGGCTCCCTGTGCCACGAGTCTGCTGGCAGGCATGGCAGCGGAGCTCCTCCCTTGGCCGAGCTCACTGAGCGTGGCCTTAGCCTGGCATCGGCATCACAGTCGTCCAAGCCTAACCCTCCCCGCCGCCCTTTTGTCTGGTCATACTCTCAGACAGGCCGTCCCAGCCACTGCGACGTCTGTGCAGCTACAGCATCCCCCACGCCCACCGAGCTGTTGGTGTCCACACCACGGTAACCCCGACCGAGACAGTCAGCCCAACGCACTTCAGACCTCCAGGCCTTGCAAACAGCCCGGCCTCTCCTGGGGACCAGGCGGGAAGATGTTTTCATCTCCACTCTGTAGCCTCTATGTCCCCTGGCAACGAGGGAGGGATCTGAAGAGGCCCAAACAGAGGTGTTGGTGACGGAGCGGACTGCAGCCGGGCAAGGAGGGGGGACCTTCAAGGGAGGGTATTTGGTTGCCGCAGCAACGCCAGCAAACACTCACAGGAGAGGGTGTGGCCCAGAACTTAACGAAGTGCCACTGGGTTTGAGCAGCAACTGGAATGTCTGAGTGCAGCTGCATCCCTCCCCACAGAGCCCTGGCCAGGCCACGAGCAAGGGCCACCGGGGCCTCTCTGGAACGCTCAGGATGAAGACAGGCAGCAAACAGGCGAGCAGGCCTCCCAGGTGCGGTTGCCTTACCCCCAGCCACAGTGCAGGGCCTCCCAGAGGACCTGCGCAAAGCTCCACAAACAGCCCAAACAGCCCAAACAGACTCGATCACAAATCACTGTTTGTCCCCGCAAACCCTGAGCCTGATGGTCTTCAGGGTGTGGAGCGGGCACTTTACAACTCCTTCCCCGCCAACGTTCATGTCTGTTTCTCCCTTCGCTGCTGCCCTTCTCCAAGACGGTGCGTTCACTGTGGGCTGGGCCCAGGAGAGGCAAGACCACAGACGTTTGGGGGGCGGGCCTTGTCCTGTGAAGAGTGGCTTAGTACAGAAAAGCCCAGGGAGGGGCGGGGTCTGTGTCAGAAGGCCAGTGGGTAGATGGCACTTTCACTACAGGGGATTCACAGAAACCTGATAAGGATGCCACAGTGAGGGCACCTGCTGGCCAGTGACCTGTGAGGCAGGAGGCCTGGGGCTCCCGCTAGAGGCTGGAAGACAGAGGTCACCAGACTCTGACCTCTGGCCAGGCCTTGTCAGACTCAACCCTTCCCCAGACTGGACTCTTTCCCGTCTCACTTAACGCTCAGGGGGAGGTGAAGTAACTGGGAAACTCTTGTCTGCGGTATAGCATGAAGGGAACTGGAAACAAGCGGTAAGATTTTAAGTAAATCTGAAGTGCTAATCGGGTGATATTAGGCACTTCAAGAAAGAGGAAGATATTCATTAATAAATATGTATTATTAGTATTTATTGAGCTCCAGCTGCACTATGGGAAAGGAACTCTCACAGAACACTTCACACGCTAAGTGCTTCCAAGGGTCCCTCAAGGGACCCCCCCTGAGTGCTCAGAACACCCCTGCAAATACGTGTATACGTGAGACAGAGAGAGAAACACCAACAAGTTCATTAGAGTAACTCAGCATTTAAGCCAGAAACGGCACGAAAACCCGAAAGCCAGCCAGCTACCACCCTGACCGCTCCAGCTGCACGGCGGACACTTGGCATTCATGGCAGTAAACACTCAAAACCCTTTAGGGTTTTTGACCCTAACACCCCAAACACCCCAG